GGTAATTACTGAAGCAAAAAAGGTTTAGCTTCGTATTTGCTTCCTTCATATAGAATTCTGCAGTTGAAGCTGATTGCTGCCCATAAGTGGACAATGAATGACTTCTTAACTGTTTTCCATTTGTTCTGCATTTTTAAATGAAAAAATTCAATTGTAAGCATTTAACTAAAAATGTTTTTTCTTTTGGAATTTTTCATGTATCTGTGAAGAATTTAAAACATTCTTAATATGATGGAAGGTGTAGTCTTTTAGACTTGTTTAAAAAAAGAGTAGTTGTTGCCTGTCTAAAAGATGATCATGTGTAGTTAGTGTTGACTGTCTTTGGTTATTGTTTATTTTATGTGGTATTTACAAAAGAAAAGACAACTGTGAGAAAATAAAAAGGACTTTGCTTACTTTTCTGATTATTTCCGTTTCATAATCAATGGAGGAATCTGAATTAGTTAATAGGAGTCTGTATTCTTAAAACTGGTTGTCAGTAAGCTTTTGAAAATCAATCAGTTAAGAAGACTATTGTTCCCTGTGTTCAATTCTTTAAAAAAGATTTTTTTTTCCTGACCTGTTTATTATATAGCACCAGTATTGATATTTTCCACTAAATGTTGCTCACTCTTCTTCCAGAAGCATATAATTTTTCAGCTCAATTATTGTTCTTCACAACTGCACAGGCACACCAGTAATCAAATTAGGCTGTTCCTTTCTTTTCATTTTGTAGTCAGTAATATTGTTGCTTGACTTGCTATTTGTCATCTTTTAATGCATTGCTTTGCTTTTTTACTGGTTCTTCTGTATGTTGGAAAAAGATCTCCCAGTGAATAGTTATTATTTCTTTTACAGATAAAATAGATCTGACATTAGAAAGTAACATGTTTTTTTCTGGTGTATTTTTTTCATGTGTCCTAATTGCAGATGGCATTTGCTGAGAGGTACAAAACTAGTATTTGAGATGTAGGAGTTATTATGTGGTCGGTTTTGCTTTTTCCATTGGGGTGAACAAAACCACAAAACTGACTGAAGGGACATATTGTGGGTGCAACTTTAAAGAATAATTCTTTTGTTGCACTTGAAAATTGAAATGTATTAACTGGACAGTTTTTTTGAAAATGTACCCTACTACAGACTTTATCCTAAGCAGTCTTTAAGCTTAATTTAATCCTCTTTTTTTTGTCATCGACGGTGTTTTGAAGGATATTTTTTTTCTTTTGATATTGACTGCATATTCTGGCTCAGTCTCTAAAGAAGCATAGTTTGATTTTTTTGTTTGTTTGTTTGTTTCTTCAACATCTTATGTGCAGAGGGTTCTAGTTTCTTCAGCTGTGTGCAGCTGTCAGGCTCTTGCATCTGTGTGAAAGCTTATCATGAGTTTTTATGTAGGTTTTGGCCTGCAAGTTTTGGAAGGACTTAATGAGCGCTTACAGTAGGAAAACACAGTAATGGAGAGTTTCCCGTGGCTTCTAAGGTCATACAGTGAACTGCAGCTGACTGCACTGGCACTGGGATCAGCTTTCAGAGCCCATGGGGCCTCTGCTGTTAAGACATGGAAGGCCACACTGAAAGGAACTCAAAATTTTAAGATATGTTGCTTTGCACACAATCCCTGGTGTTGAGAACTGCTTTAGACAGTACATAGTGGAGCTCTTAAATCTAAAGATTGCTTTCAGGATTGTAGATAGAAAATTATACACATATTCAAGGGATTTAATAGAGAGGAAAGTGTAGAAAGGGACTGCATCCTCAACACCTGAATTTCTCCATTGTGAAACGTGAGCTCAGGTTATTTTGCTGATGATTTTCTGACTGAATTACAAGATGGGAAGGAGAAAGTAAACTAAAATATTAAGTCTAAGACCACTGCTGATAAACACTGCAAAGCTTGAAACACTTCCATTTTATTGGACTCTGCCTCTTGACTCTCATACCCTGCTAGTCTCTGCTCCAGACACTGATTCAGTGACTTTTTGTGGTGCAATTTTCAGTACTGTTGGAGTGAACAAAAACACAAAAAACCCCGCCTTTAGAGATGCAGCTTTATTGGCTTTGTTGTATTGTTGTATTTGTCAGAAATCCATAGATTTATTCTTCATAACTGGTAGCGGGAAGAGAGAAAACAGTATTTCTTATTGATGATTCTGTGAACGTAATTGTTCTGTTGTTGTTGTTGTTGTTGTTTCCTTGACCAAGTGTTTCCATGGCAAAGTGTGTGTTGTCCCACATATAACCTTTTGGGATGTTACAGTTGTCTGGATGAGCACCTGAGTTAGGATTAATATTTTTAACATACATTTTAGCACATGGGGAGAAGAGCCATTTGTATTGTGAGTGAGCTGATCCCTTCTATGCAGAGGGATGTTACAAATAGGATGTTGTGGGATGTGAAGTTGACTGGGTTTCCTCACAGACCGAGATGGAGCAGTGCAAGGTGCACCAGCAGGTGCAGCACCCTGACTTGGCTTTGCTAAAGAACCCCTGAGAGAGCCCTTTTCTGTGCACGTGGGTGAGGAAGAAAACAGTGAGTGTGGTGGCATGTTCATGAATCAGCAGGCACGCACACCTCTCGGGCTCGAGACACTGAAAGGAAGGAGGTGAAATTCATGGAAATGGAACTGAGCTTTGGTCTTCATGTCCAGTTCTCTGGGACAGAATAGCTCTTCATGTCTTCATTTCTGCTTGGTGATACTGATAAAAAGTATTTGTGAAAATAAAAATGTATGTCTGATGGATAAGGATGGATAAGGATGTATAAAATCTTTAAAACCGTTGTGCTTTAGAAAGCACACCGTGAATTATAACTTCTGTTCTGTTAGAACAGTCCTGACTTAGCACTTCCTCGCTGATTCCTGTCACTAGGTCTTCCGTATGTGCCATGAAATAAATAAGTAAAAATGGGAAAGTAACTAGAAAAGGCCTGCACTGCATTTTCAATGGAAGTTTGTTCCTATAAGTATCCCTAGAGGGATTTCTTTTTGGGTTTGGGATGAGGATTAAGCCTCTGTACGATGGTTCTGGTATGTGACTGCCTAAGAATGGCATCTGTTCTAGTAACTTCTCAGTGAACTAAGGCAGACCTGTCCTCTGAGGCTTGAAGCAACCTTTGTTTTGTCTCAGCACCTGATAACTAGTGCTAAAAAAAAAGTGCTTTTGTATTTTGTGTTACATATGAAATGTGGCTTTTGGTCTCTAGAGCATGACATGCCTTTTTGTGGATTCCCTAGTACTACAAATCTTCTGCCTGAAGAAGTCTAGGTACTTCTTCCCTGTGATCAAATGGTCTCCTGCATTATAGGTTTTCATTAGCTGAACAAACCAACTGCAGATGTGTTTGAAGAATTCCAAAATGAAGGGTTTAATAAACTGTGCATAGAATGGCTTCTATAAAGATGTGTAAAAATTGTTTGGTTTTTGTTTTGTTTTGGTTTGGGTTTTTTTAAGGCATGTACGGTTTCCTTTATGTGAACATGAAATAAAATATTGTATTGCAGCATATAATTTTTAAAAATCTGGTCTTAATAAAGGCTATTTGCAAAAGGTAATAAATATAATGAAAAAGACCTCCAAAAACCAAACCAAAAGAAACAAAAGACTGATTACCAGACCAAAACCAAGAGGAATCTCCAGTTTCTCATGTAACTTGAAGATCAACCTAATACCTCTTTAACTCTGTGAAACATGCCAAGATGTGTATAATTTGTAATAATGTATGTAATTGTGATAAAGGAATAATTTCTGTATTATAAGTTGTGGAAGGGTGAAGATGTTAATTAAAAAAAAAAAATCCTACAGTGAACAAACTACTCAGTGCTGCTACAGAGAGTTAAAAATTCTTTCAAGGGTCATAGTTTGCCTGCACATACACACATTTCCCTGAAGAATGTGAAATCAAGGAGTTTCTCTGGTAACTCTTCTCATTTCAGAGCTCTGAGTACCAATTTCTGTTTCAAAGTTGGGACCGTGTTCAAAGGGATGCTCTGAAGCGCTTGTGGTGTCTGTGGGTGCAGTTTGCCTGCTGGTGCAGTGCCCTCTGGTGGGCCGCAGCTCTAGGGCACCCCCATACCAGGCTTCTCAGCTGCCTGCGCTGTTCCTGAAATCCATGGATGACTTCGTGGTTATCTGCCTTCTCTCCGGAGAGTGTGCAAATGATGGCGTGTTTACTTACTCAGATAAATGCGTTTCGCAATTCATTTTGTTCCTGTTTAGGAAAGCTTTAGGCTACCACCACCCTTGTCAACTCAAATGGATTGCTGGGATGTTGTGTCTTGTAACCAGATTAGATAATTTTTCTGCAAGAGGATGCTAGGTTCTCAGTGTATGTTCTGTGGCATGTAGCAGCTGTGTGGCAGCACCCATGCCAGTTGTGAACCTCTTTTCCATAGTTGCACATACACCAATTCACTTTTTCGGATGCTGGGAAAGTGTGCGGTTTGTACTGTAAGTAACAGAAGATAAATGTGAGATTTCAACAACTGTATTATATGAAACCTTGTACTTAGGCTTATTCAATGTCAAGTTGAAAGTATAAATTCAAGGCTAATGCAAGGAACCTTTTTAATTTTCTTGCAAAAAAACATGACTGGTGATCAGATGGGTTTTCGTGTACATGGTATGTAACAATTATTTCTGGCTACAGAAATGAACAAATCAAAAAAGCTTTTATTTAATATTCTGCTCTGTGCCTGCAGGAGTGCAGGCAGGAGAGAATGAGAAGACAGAAGGACAAAAGTTGGCACATTATATTTACAATGCATCAGGATCGGACACAGCATTATCCAAATACAGTGGACTGTTCTTGTGTCTTAATGGGCATTAAATTAGTGTACATCCTAGTAGCTGGTACATTTTCAGCTGATGAGACAGACCGATATGTATACATTATTTGAAAATCCAGTCTACTTGCACTTTACCTTTTGATGCTAAACACAATTTGCAAATTTATTTCAAGGACTAGCTCGTACAAATTGTTAATATCTTCATATAATTTGCAACAATGCTGTTTTTTCTTTAAGGTTTTGACAGAGGAAAGGATGATGTGTCACAAAGTAAAGAGGATGCAGCATATTCTATGTCAAAAAGTAAGGTAAGGAAAGCAACCTCCTAATTTGGCTTAAAAATGTTGGTATGTAAAGGATTTACACACTTTTAATTAAAGGCAAATGTATATAACTTTTGTGTAGATAATCTAAAGATTACTCTTCAGAATCAGCAATAGGTAAAGATTAAAGGGAATTTCTTAATATAGTTCCCTGGATGACATCACATGAAAATTTATGCTTCAAAGATCAAAGTAGTGAAAATGAAATCTTAGGGTGGAACGTTGCTTTGCCATAGATGAAATTTAAAAGCTTTAACTTACCCAGCTGTGTTTCTGTTCTATTCTGTGGTTTTCTGTTAGGATGTCTTTTTATAGAGGCAAATGTGGTAACAAACACTTAGAGTGTCAGGGCGCAGCAGGTGTGGGCTGCTCTGGGAGGGGAGGACCTGAGCTTGAACACAAGTAGGTCCCAGCAGGAATGGGAGAGATGCCTCGCGCACAGGTGGGCACTGCATCTGTTGGAGGTGGTGCTGGCCAAGGCAGTTGCACTTTGGAGACAGAAGGGTCGCACTCGAGATCTTGACACAAATTTTTCTGTGATGCTTGATGTGGCAGAGCATTAAAGGGAAACGTTACAAAGATATTGAAGGAAAACCAAGAGACTTAAAGATTATGATAGCATTTCCTGGCTGAAATGGTGTCATCAGAATTAGTTTCTGCAGCTGATGGTGCATTTTGTGATGTGCAGCTAAGCATTTCAAGCTGTTGCTGTCTTACATGTGACTTGGAATTACAAAATTTTATGTCTTTTAGCTTTACTGCATCCTAGAATAGATTCCTTGTCAGGAACATCAAGGAAGTATGCTTTACCATCTGGCTTGTTTCTGATAAAAATATTTATTTTGGTCTAGAAATCTAAATAATTTTTGACTTGAAAATCAAATTACATGGTCTCTTTTGACTTGATTTCAGACACTTTTAATCACTTCTCTTTAACTCTCCAGTTCCTTTTTTCTCTTTCTTACATTTATTTTTCTTGGTTCCTGGATCTTAGGTCTGTTTGTCCTTTGTTGTTACTTTTGTTTGTGTCTTTCTGCTATCAAAGATGAGATCAATATTCGTACTTCTGCCAGTACATATTTTTCTTCATCTGTCTTTTTGCAATTACTGCATGTGAGGCTTGATTATACTAGTGGAGATGAAGTAGCAGCCCTTCATTCTAAGTGAGAATGGAAAAGCAGTGGTGATGCCTGGAATCTGGTACTCAGTGTACCTCACTGGGAGTTGCAGCAGGTTCTCTTAAAATGTTTTCTTCTAAATTTTTTATTCCATCCGCTTTGTGTAGATGTAACACTGAGGAAGTTACTAGCTTAAAAATACACAGATCACTGACCTGTCTCATAATCCATTGGACAGGTAAATGTTAGAACTCTGCTCAGTGCCCTATTAGTGAGCTTTAAAACTGAGACAATGAGAAAATGAGTTTTTGTAGCCTGTGATACTTTCTGGTTTGGGGCTTTTTATATGCATGACCTTTGGATTGTCTTAGTTTTCTGTTAGTGAGCAACTAGAATATTTATGAATGTTTTGCTTAAGTTGCTCCATTATAGCTTGCATAATGAGTTCATTACCTCTTCTTATGTGACAGTGATAAGCATTTTTCCCCTCTTCTGTTATTACATTTAAAGTACTGTATTTCCTTCAACATCTAGAGAGAGGAATTTCATTTCAAGGTGTATGCTCATCTTAAAGCTAAATTTTGAGTGTCAAGAACATACCTATATTAGAAAATGAAGAGGCTTCATTTTTCTAAGATATGTATGGAAATTAAAGAACATTTACCTACCATTGAAATAATGTTGAGGTACAGTTTTTCCAGTTACTACACATATTTTGTACAGTAGCTAAGTAGGTTCCTGTAAAGTCTTAGTAATTAGAATAAAAGGCGTGAAAGTAGAATAAAGTTAAATTGCTTTATTCTGCTAGTAAATCTTTAATCTTTGTTTCTTTTGTTTGAGCAGCTTGTGAGTTGAGTGCTCAGGTGCACTGTTTTTGTTATTGCAATAAGTTTTTCTCAAATCTTGCATATTTTTGATTGTCATTTTATAGTATTCCAGAATCCAAATTCTGTGAATAGACTTTGTACTATAGTCTGAGATTTGAAATGCTGAACAGCTTGAGAAGCAGTTTTCATGAATTGTCCTTGAATTGAATACACAATTTAGAATGTTACATTGATTTTTCTATTTATTTTGTTTTTTGACACGGCAGAAGCTTTGGGTCCACCTAAAGGCTTACGTTTCAGTCTACAAAGAAATAGAACTTAGTAATTTATCTAATGTTTGTATATAGTGGATTTCCACTATATGTTCTCTGACCTCCAGTAGGAATGATAGGAGAACTCTGTGATAGACTCCTCTTTTTCCCTTTCCACCCCACTTCCCTTCAAAGAGTGCTATGTCCCACAGTGAATATTTTGTGTCTTTAGTTCCCTTTCAATTAGTAGACAACAAATGCCAAGGAGTAAACTTTGAACCTTAGAAGATGTGGGGAGAGGCGGCGGGGGGAGAAATCATGTGGTGCTGAGGCAGCTTATTGTCCTGCATGAACGAGGACTTGGGTGTCATAAACAAACCTGAGTCTTTTCCCCTGTCTGTTGCCACTGTGAGCTTCTTGGAGATGACTTGCAAAGTAATCAGTGTGGGACTAGGGAGCAAGGAGCAGAACGAGTGCCATTAGTGGACAGTTCTATTTTGATGATTTATGAAGCACTGAATCCTAGATTGAAGAGGCTGTATTTTCCTTCATGAGTCACAGGGTAAGTGCCTCTATAGCAGTCCATTTGGAGGAGCTGTCAAGTAATGGATGAAGACATTGGGATTCGTATATCATGGGATTGACTCTTATGTGTAAACACCGGGATTCTCCTAAAACATTCTCTCTCTGCTAAAATAATGCCAAACTATTCAAGCCCACTCTATCGAGTAACAGGCTACATGAGCTAAATATATACTATATGTAGTTCAGCTGCCTCTGGAGGAATCACAGACTTCTTTCCCATAAAACCTATATGAAAAGAGACTCCATAAATAGGTGGTGAACAGCTCATGTTGCAAGTTATGGTTTGTTGCTTTGGAGTTTTTTTTGAAGTGGGGAAAACAGTAGAGAAGTGAGTGGGAATGGGAACCTTACAAACGTAACTGCACTTCAAACACTTTCAAATGTGCCTGCATCAGTAATGTATCCTTGTATCTATCATTGTAATTTATTTGTTATGTGTTTTGTGAATTTCAGTCTGAATCCAAGCTTTTCAATGGCTCTGAGAAGGATGTCTCTTCACCTTCAAGCAAACTCACAAAAAAAGAATCTCTCAAGGTGAATTAATTTCCTAGTAACTCCTTAGGAACTATAAATGCATTCACGTAATTTTACCTTTTTCCCTAATGAGAAGACAAAAATGCCAAATAATCATGAAACTTACAGAATATTTAAGTATTGTAAGAAGTTGTGCTGTTGAGTCTCTTCAAATGTTACTGTACTGTTACTTGCATAATGTGCTTCTGTAGTGCAGTCTCTAAGATGGCACAAGGTTGTTGATAACTCAGAAGATTATAGGATAATTCAGGTTGGCAGTGACCTCAGGATATCTACATGCAATGAGATGACAAATGGAATTACCAAAATCACAGTTTGAATGCATTACTTGTTTTTCCACTATCTTCTTCCCCCAGTGTTGTAACTATACCATAGTCCTCTATTTGGCAGATACCATGTCAGGAGAAACATAAAATTATTTGGCTCTAAAAGAGGGAGATACATTGCTGCAGATTTCTACTGGGAAGGGAACATAATTGATGGGTAAAGACTACTGATCAGATAATGTACCTGTAAATCTGAATCTAGCCCAATTCTGGTTTTCTGCTTTACACCAGGAAAGGAAGAGGGGAGGGAGATTGGTTTGGTTGTTTTTTCTCCGGTATAATTTTAACGGGAGTTTCTAAGTCCTCAGTTTTAAAAGCAAATTGCAGAAGAATCTGAAATTGGCTACATCACAGCTGCTCTTGAAACAGAGCATGAAATAGTTGTTTGTACCTTGAAGTCAAATACTGTTTTAAAGCTACTTCTCTGTATCTGTACTGCAAATCAAATTTAGCAGGTTTTTCCTCACCTTGTATTAGTCAGTGCCTTTTTATGATGATAACTGGCTTATGGCTGTGACAGTATAAATATTTTTATTTACAGGTTCAAAAGAAAAATTACAGAGAAGAAAAGAAGAGAGCCACAAAAGAATTACTTAGCACGATCACGGACCCATCAGTTATTGTTATGGCTGACTGGTTGAAGGTCAGAATCCAAGTGTGAAACCTGAGTTGAAGATGTAGCAGCTGCTTGCTACTTTCTGACCAGAACAGAGGCTCAGTCTTTTACTTGCTGTTAATGTTTTTCTACGGGCACAGCAGCCACTAATTGCATCCCAAGGTCTCTGTGCTCAAATCCTAGGGGAGTAATAGAGGAACCTAAGTGCCACTTGCTGCAGTCACCCTAGTCACATGCATCTTGCACGTATAGCCATTAACTTTGGATGAGCTGGTTTTGCAATTCTTATTTTGTCCTTCTCATTTTACACTTGGAGGTGGAGCTCTGTTACATCCCTGACAGCAGTGGAAATGATTCAGTCAGATATTTGAATACAGGTTTCTCTCTGCATTTCTGGTGATTTTCTTTTCCTCTGTTAGGAACTAACTGGTACAAAAGGTGAGGAATTAATTTCTCAAAGACAGCAGTCAATGTTATTAACAGTAGTGCAGTTAATATATTTGTACATATTCCTCACTTTAGTAAATATATTCTTTGGATAGAAATAGTACAGTAGTACTGTACTAATAGTGCAAGAAAAAAAGACCTTTTACCTGTTTTTGTTTGCTTCCAACAGTAACTTGCCAGGAAAACATTTCTTCAGTTTTTGCAAAAATCAGTGTAAACAGGCTAAAATATTGCTCAGAGATCAAGTTGTCATTCAGTCCTACAGACACAGAAGTGATTAAAATCCAGAATTGACAGAATTGATGCAAGCAGTCTAATGAGACGTGGAAATTCAGAGAATTGAAAGGTTCTTTTATTTCACATACATGTTGAAGCTAACAGCTGTTCTAAAAGGTTTTATCTAAGAAATTCAAATATATATGAGTTAGTTTGTGAATATCTTGCTTTTCTTATCACATCGTCCCTGTGTTCAGAGGAGTTCTGTTTCCAAAGGTTATCCTGTGTTCATGCTAGTGATAAAATATGTTTCAGATAGGAAAATTCATTGAGGTTTCAGATTAATTGTCGTACTTCCAATATCTGGATATGTGTATACGTATTTGTAGAATTAAATACTCATAAAGAGAGAACAGAAGAGAGAGCATTGAAATTGTACCTTTGTATTCTTTGATAAACCTGGATAAACTTTTGATAGACCTGATAAACTTTGCTTTGAAATAAAAGCTAATAAATAATTTCAGTTTTAATTTTGTTAAGGGGGATGGTTTTGGTATTGATTTCACTGAGATATAACTGTAACTATTTATCTTCTAGATTCGTGGTACCTTGAAAAGCTGGACCAAACTGTGGTGTGTACTGAAACCGGGAGTGTTGCTTATTTACAAAACTCCCAAAAATGGCCAGTGGGTAGGAACAGTGCTCCTGAATGCTTGTGAACTCATCGAGAGGCCTTCTAAAAAAGACGGCTTTTGTTTCAAACTGTTTCATCCTTTGGAGCAGTCCATATGGGCTATAAAGGTTAGTGGTAGCACGAATGGTTCTTAAAGGACGAGTAGCATTAGCGAGCCATGAGTAAAGACAACCTTAATGAAAAGCTGAACTGCATTTTCTGTTACAACTTTAATGGGTTTTTTATTCTGAATATAAGCCTTCAACATCTAGTCCTGTTCATCAGAAAAACTGTTTGATTTATGCTGCTCTGTAAAGAGCTTTAGAGGTGTGGTGTGCAACGGGATGCCATTAAAGACGGTAATGCCATCACAGGCAATCACATGAAGGAATGAGTGTTTAACATATTTTACATCAATCAAATCAGAGAAATTAAGGTGGGATTTGCCAAAATGAAAGAGTTGTGTTATAAATGTTTCTTAGTGTCCAACCCCATATTCTTGTAATAAAATGTCACCCTAGGGTAGAAATTCAAATAACTTCCTTGTTCAATAATAGCTTAGATTGCAACTTGTTAGCCAAGTCTACTTGGTTTTGGCTATAATGTTAGAAAGATAAATATTTTCATTCGGTTCTGATGTCTATTTGCCTTGTCATAGATGGCATAATACTGTGAGCAGCTCCTATCTGTGTTGAAAAGCACAGTGTGTGTTCTGCACAGCAAAGGTTTATTTTAATTTTTCATAAGAATCTTTAATGCTTGCTATTATTCATTGTTTATAATCTGATAAACTATTGTAGTCCTTGTTTTGTGTTTACATGTGGAGAGGGGGTGTGGAAGCACAGCACAAGTGAACATATTTTCCTCCTGAAATGACATCTTGCATTAGATGAAATTACAGTACAATATTAGGAACCTTGTCATAATTAATTAATTATGCCCTCTGCAACATCTTACAATTGTACAATTAGTAGCTATCTTATCTTCTAAATCTTAAATTGATACAGATGTACTGTCACATCTGTTGAATATGCTGAATTGATTTTGTCATCCTTTTCTTAGACAGGGAAGTCAGTCAGTATAATTACTGATGCTTGTGATCATTCTGAATTGTTATCAATGTCAGTGTTATCTAAATTTAGCAAACTTAGATCAAATCACTTGTAGTTGCTTTTGAATAATTTTATTCTTGCTTAGGAGGAGTTTTCAGTAATTAGTGATCTCACATTTGCAGGATACAAACTTCATATCCTTTTCCAAAGCTATAACGTTTGGTGTTAATGTGCTTATTTATGACATGTATACATACATTGCAAAGTGTATGTGGTGGCCTGTCTGCAGAAGATCAGAAATCAGTCTTATATTTCTTTATTGCTTGGCAATGAGAAATGGATTTGTTTGTTTTTTTAACTAGATATTTAGAGTTTAGAGGACATGCCCCACCAGATTTTTACTTTTTTAAGGTAGGTCAAATTTTAAACCTGAACCAGTTGATATTGTCCATTCTAAATGTGCTGAGAGCTGGAGTGGCATTTGTTCATTTTGGTATGGCTATTTGCAGTTGAGAATTACTGGATTTTGTTAGATGAAAGACCTTGAAGTTTGAAACCTTTTTCTGCCTTGTTTACCTAGTCAATCATAATGTCCTAGTTACAGATTTATTACCATGAGGCCAACCCGCATAAGTGGAATAGCAATTGACTGATCTAGAGTAGATTTACCAGAAAGAGCCTCAAGTCTAAGGCAAAATGAGCCTTGTTTGCAGTCAGTGCAGGAAGATGGCATTGCAAAAAACAGGTACAGAGGTGTTAAGCACTGCAGGAGATTTTCCTCACTCGAACACATTTCCCCTAGTGTGTCCTTCTGGCAGACTGCAAATTCTCTTCTGCAGTAGTTTGTGACCAGTCACCTCACATGCTCCCTTAAGCCTGTTGCTGTGGTTTTTGATGTTCCTCCTGCACTCTGAGGTAGCTGATGCACTGTACCTTGTTTTGCCTTTCTCATGTGCCTGGTCCTGGTACCATTTCAGTTTCCTAAAATTAATAACTAGAAAAGTCAGTGTGAATAATTTTTTGTGAGTAAATTTAGTCAGGGGTGGCTGCTTATCAGTTTTCATTGCTGTTTTTCAATGAACATTCATGGCATTTGAGTTTTATTGGCATGAATATTCTGTAGGAAGTAAACTTCAAAATTTTTTTAATCTCATGGAATTTTTAACTTGACCATTGCCTTGGAGCAGTTATAGCATCATCCATCAGGAGCAGGGTCAATCCAAATAAAATTACATAGCACATGGAAACTAACGTGCCTCTTGTACAGAACACTAACATACTGAAAATTGATTTTGAAACCATAATGGGTGTTATCAAAGAAAAGTATCTAGTGCCTTTTGAACAGTAATCCATTAGAGGAAATCAAGATCCATGAGCAGTTATTTAAATTAAGTCAACATACATAAGTGTTCACTAAAAATTAATCATTTGGTTTTAATGTATTGTTAAAACACTTAGGGGAACGTAACTTTCTTGCATAAGAAAAAAACAAAACCAGACTCCAAAACCACACTTCGTCTCTAAATTATAGTGGCTTGGTACAGAGTAAGTAGCATACCCTAAAGTGCCCACAGTATAACCTTGAAGGACAGATCTCGCGAGCAGAAGTCCACCCTTAGTCCGTGTCTTGTGACCCAAGAGTATTAAGGACTTGTGCTGGCTGAGGCCTGTGCACAGTGCTGGAGCCACGGCCCCTCCATGCAGCATCCCAACACCTCTCCCACCCCTGCCTGGCGTGGCACTGTGCCATGGTGCTCTCCCCTCCTCAGGTGAGAGTGGGCTTCTCACCTGCCTTCCCACCCTTGGGGTGAGCCGTGGTCATGGGTGGGGTTGCCCCTTCTGGTTCTTGGTACCCACTAACTCCTAATCTCAGTGTTGCTGCTTCACCAAAGACTTTTTGTAGGCACACCTTTCTGCTCACTAGGAGGGAGGCTGAGGTTTGGAGTTTTGTTTCTAACACCCAATTGCTGTTACTCTGTGCTGACTCTCTGAGTTTCTGAACATCATTTACACCAGCACTAGCTTGTCTGTATTGGTATTTAAGTGCCACCAAGACTACTTGTTTACCCGCTTCTCACCCTCAGAAACGTTCTGGCTGTTTCATTTGCTTGCTTCTAAAATAATCTGCCTTTATCTGCTTTTGCTCAAAACTTCTGCTGGCTTTCCAATTCCCTCTTCTAAGCCTTGTACTGGCTCTTCATTAGGCTTCTCTGGGGGAAATCAGTGAAGACCAAAGTGTGTTAACTCATCAGTTAGGCAGACTTAACCCAGCTTTCAATGATAGCTTCAAGTATGTTTATACAGCCCTCTTTGCCTATCAATTGTCATAAAGTTACCATACATAAACTTTATTTGGAAGGGGCTTTAAAATGGTTATTTGACATTTTATTCCAAAATAAAACTTGACAGAAATGGAAAGGTCTTTTGGATTTTATTTTTTTTTTTATTGTGAAGAACTTCCTAGTGAATGTAAAACTGTGGCATTTGATATCCTATGTGTATCTTTTGGTTGAACTTAATGTCATGGTTGCTGATGCCCTTTATAGAGAGACTTAAGCATCTAAATGTCTTTTGTGGACCCAGACATCATCTTGTTTTTTTTCTTGATAAAATGACAAGTCTACAGTTAGGCATCTGAATATTTTGTGGAATTGACTACTGCATAGGTAGAGAAGTTGAAGTGGGAGAAGGGAGGGAGAAAGGATTAGTGGGTTTTACTAACAATACATAACACTTATTTTCCTTTTATATAAATAAGAATTGACTCATCTGTTTTCTGAAGACCGGCAAAAATTGTGCAGTTTTGGATGCTGTTAAGACACCAAACATACTGGCATATAAAATAAGCATGAAGTAGATCCCTGAATAAGACCTCCCATTTTCTGCAAGGGTTTGGCTTGCACTGGTGTCTCTCCTTTCTATGAACCATAGCATCCTTCTATGAGTTGAGAGGAATCTGTGCTCTCATCAAGAGAAAATGAGACTTCAGGGGGAGAAAAGGCAGTTGCTGTACAAATGTGGGGTCTTCTACTAGGCAATATTTGTTGTAAATCAACTCACTTATGCCAGCCCAAAGGCACGTCTTTTGTTTTGCTTGTTTTCAGTTGTACCTCTTCAGCTGAAATACTGAGTGAAAGAGGAATAGCCTGTCCTTTGTGATCTCTCTGTACCCACCTGCAGGAATTCCTGTGCAGTGAGGGTGACCCCCATGCCATTCCTTACGATGCTTTTGTCACCTTGCTCTAAGTAGCATCAGCAGAGCATTTCCAAGTTACTATGCCAAGTCTGATTTACACAAAAAAAAACCAAAAAAGCCACACCAAAATTTTTTTAATCCCAAAGACCATTCCTTTTAAAGTGAGCTTGAATTGGGTCCTATACTTAGAATGAAGACTTTGAAGGAGAAATCCAGTAAAAGAGGGCTGTCCATCTTTCCATTCATGTCTTTGTTAGATGTTGCTGAGTGACAGTAAATAGCTCTGCAGTGTGTCAGCTTGTTATTACATTGAATGATAAACTGCAAAACTGAATTGAAATATCTGATGCTGTTCCTTGTTTTATCTGTTTCAAGGGTCCCAAAGGTGAAGCAGTTGGTTCTATAACTCAGCCGTTGCCCAGCAGTTATTTGATCATCCGAGCTGCTTCAGAATCAGATGGTAAATAGATATTTCATTGTTTCAGCAGTGACAACAGTTAGTTATTAGAAAGAGGTGCTTTTAGTTGTCTTCTCATATCTGTTACAGCACTTTGATTGCAGTTTAGTTGTTAAAGTTCTCCCTTAGTTTAGTACATTCAGTTGTGTTGGTACTCATAGATTTTCCTGGTTATTGGAGAAGAATATTGACCTAAGAAAATGTCATTGAACTCCTTGCCTTGTGTTGACTGGGTAGAGGAGGGGGAACAGGTTATTTATGATTTAGCTGTATTAATGTATGTCTCACTATCAAGCTAGTGCCTTTCTAAAGTGCTAATGTGGACATATTCTCATGAAAGCACTTGTGTGTGAAGCGCAGCAGTTGCAGAGAGTTCTAGTAGTAAAAATTCCCTCAAAACATAGTTTTGTGACACCCTTCATTGGAAGGTGGTGGTCAGTGCAAGTACCTTCCAAGGTTACAATGTGCAAACTTTAAGATTGTTGTTTAGCCTTCCTAGCAGTTGCTTTTCATCTACCAGTTAATTAAGCATACCCCTGCAGACTTTAAAAATAGTTTGCCTTCTGTATTGAGACATTGATTCGATACATGAAAATGAAAAATTATGAAGTGGAAAGAATACACAAATTTGTTTAGTTACTTTTTTTCCAAAGAAAATTAGAATATCTACTTTTTATATTTTGAAACAGTATTTATATGCTATCTTTTTCCACATTGTTATCGTATTACTTGGGCAAATTTTGCCAACTGATACAGTTACTTAGTCTTCAGAATTAGAGCAGGGCTGCAGGCAACTTCGGAGGCATTCACAGTCAGGGCCTGGGTGTAGTCAGACTTGTATTAAGGAAGAAATGCTGGAATATGCTCTAATGTAATCATGATTTACCTTGCATGTCCTGCTCTGAAGCATCCCTTGTACCACAGCTGGGTAGTTGTAAAGTTGAAAATTCTGAAGTGTGTCTTCAAAGTCAATGTAAACAGGCCTAAAAGACTAATTTTCCCAAATAGAAAATGGAAGTAGTATAGTTGTGTTAAATACTTAACTTTTAGTCTAATGCCTCATTTGTTTGTAGGCAGGTGTTGGATGGATGCTTTGGAGCTGGCACTGAAATGTTCAAGTCTGCTTAAACGTACGATGATTAGGGAAGGTAAAGAACACGATTTGAACTCTTCAGCAGACAGTAGTCATGTCTCTTTCTATGGTCTGCTTCGCGCTAACAACATGCACAGTGGAGAAAACCTACCGTAAGTGAATTAATTACTAAACCTGATTGTCTTTTTGGCAGAACCTTGTAGTGATAACTTCTCCACAGGGAAATTAAGGCTGCAGTTCATTTTGCTCCTGAGTTCTCTTGATATGTCTTCTTTTTACTGTGCTTTATACCCTGCACCTAAAAAAAAATCTTTTTTCAAGCTAAGTGGATCCAGAGGAAAGTTTAGCCCAAGGAACTTGAAGCTGAGTATCATATCAGTAAGTTGTAAATACTCAGTTAAACTGTGCAACATAGAAAAAATGAAAATTTTAAGTTGCTGTCTCTTGTTAGCTTCACCAGAAGATAAGAAGTTTAGTACATGAGGCAGAAGTTGGTAGATGTGAATTTAAGTTGCTGTTCTTTGGTTAAAGAAATTAATAATCTTCTTTAAATTATTCCATCATGTCTTATCTTTGAACCATCAGATGGATGTATAATAATTCAGTCACCCTACTATTAAATTAAATGCACAAAAGTTAAAATTGTCTGGTATCACCTGGTATCTAATGTCTAAACTCCCTGTTTATTTCACTAAATGCTTTCAGCCAGCTTTTGAGAGCATAAGCTTGTGTGGAAATACATTATTAAACAAGTGTAGTGAATGGTGTTGTCTAATGCTTCAGTTGTGCCACCAAAGTGCATTAAGAATTATAAAAGATTTAGTCCTTTATTTGAAATAATTTGGTCTAAAGCTTGTGCTATGAATAGTTTCTCTCAATAGTCTTCCACCAATTCAATATACTTTCAGGTGAACATAAATTTATTTCAAATATCTCCCACCTATGAAGACTTTGCTGTCCATCCGTCTTTTCTGGGAGTGCAGGAATTTTGGACTGCTGTTTAGATATGCTCCTGTATTTGAGACAGGGGCCTAAACTGGGAAAAATGCAATTCTTTTTAGCATAGTCTGAGAAAAGCACAAAAAAGGCAAATTGTTGCTTCTGGCAACAATTCAAGTCTCTATCCAGATGACCAAGCTTGGCTCAGCTAGAGTTTTGCTCCTTCTGTTGTCTTGTAGAAACAACATAACTGCTGTGTACAATTCAGCTGGAGATCTGTACTCTTGAATAGTAGTTTAATATCAGCTGCTGGCCCTGATTACAATCACAGCAATTAGCTACAGCTGTTAAGTCTAATTAAAACTCATGCTTTAATTAAGTAGATCTTTTGATATAGCATATTTTAAGCATATTTAGTGTGTTTAACTATCTAAGCAAAAATCTGGCAGGTCTAGCTTCAGTGAGGTTGGCAGAAGAGGGAAAAGAAAGGCGATGAAAGCAATTTTAGCTTCCACTGAGAGTGAGCTTTTTTAAATATGTTTATATCAAGAGGAGATCTAGGGAAAGCAGTGGACCAATATGTGTTGAAGATGGTCACCTGAAAAACAGGGATGAAGAAAAAGCAGGCAAATTTAATGCTTTTTTTTACTCAGTTGTTAATAATACTGGTAGACCTTGGGCTGCCTGACCCTCTTGAGTAGGAGGCCCATGAGTGCAGGACCAGTGAATTTCCATTTGTGGACACTGACATTTTAAGAGATCAGTGTATCAGCTGAATGTTTTTAGGTCCATGGGGTCTGATGTGATACATCCCAGAGTACTGGGAGAGCTAGTGGATGTTACAGATACCTCTCAAGCATCTACTGAGAGTCTTAGGAGCCTGAGGAGGACCCCACTGACTGGAAATTAGCCAACAGTATTCAGATATACAAGAAAGGCCTGAGGAAAGACCCAGGAACCTACAGACCCGTGAATCTGTAGTACCTCAGTACCTGGAAAAATTATGGAGAAGGTCATACTGTGTCCTATTGAAAGACATTTAAAGAACAATGCAATCACCGGACCTAGTCGGCATGGGGAAAGTCACGTTTAACTAATGTGGCATTCTTCTATGATAAGGTCACTTGCTTACTGGATGAAGGGAAGACAGTGGATGTAGTTTTTCTGGATTTTCCTAAGGCTTTTGATATTGTCCCTCACAGGATCATTCTGGACAAGTTTTCCAGCTATTAGATGAGCAGGGTCACAATGTGCTGGTTGAAGAACTGGGTGAAGGCAGGACCTAAAGGGATATGATGAATGGGGCTGTGGGAAGGTGCCGGCATGTGGCTACATCTGACCAGCAACTGGTCACCAGTGGTGTCCCTCAGGGCTCAATCCTAGGGCCTGTTCTGTTTGGTATTTTTATCAGTCATCTGGATGTAGGAATTGAGTGCACTGTTAGCAAGTTTGCTGACAATACCAAACTGGGAGGTGCTGTTGACGCTCTCAAAAGATGAGAGTGCCCCTGGTGGTGCAGTGGTTAAGCCGCAGTGCTGTCAACGCCGAGACCCGGGTTTGATTCCCGGTTAGGACACTCCCCGGGCAGATGGAGCTTGTTAGCCCTGTAAGGCAATCCATCTACGTCCTGAGGACCTCGCTGCCACCGTCCAAGCTCGCTTGGCCCCGGCAGATGAACCTCAGGATTAAAGGGTGGGCTCAGTTCCGCGCACACTGTGTCTCACCTAAAAAATCCAATGCGCAGGCTGGAAGGTGTAAAGACCTTCCCCGGTTCTTTGTTCACGAAGACTGGCCATTTACTTACAAGGGATGAGAGGCCTTGCAGAGGGATCTGGGTAGATTGGAGTGTTGGGCAATCATCAATGGCATGAAATTTAACAGGTCCAAATGTTAGAGTCTGCACCTAGGACAGACTAACGCTGGGCAAAAGTATAAATTGAGAGAAGAGTGGCTGGAGACCAGCCCTGCTCTCACCACAGCCCTAGGGGTGCTGAGGTGATTGTTGGGTGTGAAGTGGGCTTGGGGCCCAGCTGAGGGGCAGTGGAAGGAGGTCTGGGGGTGCTGGCTGACAACGGAGTCAGCATGGATCAGCAGTGTGCCCTGGCAGCCAAGAGGGCAAACCCCATCCTGGGGTGCATCAAACCCAAATAACCTGCTGGTCAGAGGTGATTATGCCACTGTATTCAGAGGTCATGTGGCCTCATCTTGAGTGCTGCATGCACTTCTGGGCCCCACAATTTAAGAAGGATATGAAGGTCCTTGACTATGTCCTGAGGAGGTAGCAAAGCTGGTGAAAGAGCTGGAAGGCATGTCCTGTGAGGAGCAACTGAGAACTTCCAGTGTGTCTAGTTTGGAGAAAAGGAGGCTGAGGGACAACCTGATTGCTCTCTTGCAGCTTCCTGAGGAGGGGAGGTAGAAAGGGAGCTGCTGAACTCTTCTCCCTGGTATCCAGGGATAGGAAGCATGGAAATGGTTCAAAACTGCATCAGGAGAGGTTTAGACTGGACATTACAGAATATTTCTTCACTGAGAAGATGGTCAGACACTGGAACAGGCTTCCTAGAGAGGTGGTTGATGCCCCAGGCTCATCAGTGTTTAAAAGTCATTTGGACAATGCGTTCAGTACCGTGCTTCAACTGTTGGTCAGGCAGTTGGACCAGAAGACTTGCAAGTCCCTTCCAGTGTAACTATTCTAAACTTAGTGTGTTTGACACTTCAGTGAGTAGAGTACATCCTATGTGTTTCCAGCAAAGCTAGTTTGACACTGCTGCCAGATCAGGCTTGATACTGGCAATTTTAGTGTATATTTTATTAAGATCCAGGTTTGGAAACAATGAAATTATTGTGTAAAGTTGAAGATTCATTTAGCCTTTTCTTCTTTTTAATAGGCTAAATGACAGTGAAATTGAAAGGCATCACTTTAAAGATCAAGATACATACTCTGACAAATCTGATAAAGACAATGACCATGACCACGAGGAATCTGATAATGAAGGATTGGGGAAAAGCGAAGAAAGCGACAGCGACACATCAGAGCGACAGGATGATTCTTTTGTCGATCCAGAACCAATTGATATCAAGGAAACCACTTACTTAGAACAGAGTCATGAAGAACTTGGGGAGGTAAAACTGCTGTCGATGTAGTGAGCAAGCAGCTTCTCCAAATAGAAAGCTGATATTTTAGGGGTCAGACTACACTTGAAAGCTGACTTGCAGAATTGGCTTTTCATATTTTTCAGTAATAATGAGTGGAAAAGGTTCTGTTCACCCACTCTGCTTTGCCACTCTTGTGCTAATGTATGAGATTTTAACAGAGATAATGAAATTATCTGGAACATCGCTTAGACAGAAGGTGCTGTTTGAAAGGACCACCTGCAGCAGAAGTTGACCATGACTACTTGTTCTTTTGTTGTTACTTGTATTTTATTTTTATTAACTTAGTCCTGGTTTTTCTTCAAGTAAAAATCTTCAAGTTGAAGGTTTGAATGCAAGCTGACACCTGTTTTTTCTACTGCAAGCGAGGAGTTAAGCAGCTGTGGGGTCTGCAGAATTTAGTGGAAAGCTGGCTGTGTTTCTGCTGTCACCTTGCATTCTAATGATACCCCAGATACCATTCCACTTCTGCAGGTTGTTTTTTGTATCTACACAGGCAAATATGACAGGGATTTGTAAACAAAAAGCTTAGTAACAGAAATTGAAGTAAACTTTATTCTCAAATCTCTCCTTTCTCCTCTAGTGCTAACTATGAAATTTTTTTCATACCTATGGAACTTGCATATTTATGCTTTAGTGCTTTCTATTGTCGTGTCTAGACAAAGCAATATTTTAGGAAAGCTGAGGAGTTCAGGATAACTACAAATTCTTGAATACGCATTTTAGAACTGTTCTGAAAAGGTGTTTTTGCTTGCTTTTCCTACAATCAGTGCTTTTGATTTCAGAAACTGTAAGGAAAAATATCTTCTCTTGGACAGAAGGGAGCATATTTGGAGTGTGGCTGCTGATTTTACTCATTTACCTTTAAGTCATATGTTTTTTTAAGAAAAAACACAGATACTGCTGACTGGTCAAGGCATTGAAAAGCATGAATGTGTCAGCTTTCATGGTTGGGAAAAGCTGGTAGAATGAACAGCCCTTCGGTGTATAAGTTATGCACGTGAGAACTGAGTAATGCACTTGATGCCTAGGAAAGGACTAAGGAAGGTTTTCTGAACAATATTCTACCTCAGGTTTTTCTGATCTAGGGCTGATGCAAACAAACACAGTTTTTAATGCTGAGTAGTCTGTCTATCATACTTCATTAAAAATGTATCATAAGCGTATTTATTGAAACCTGATCTTTCTTCCATAGTTACTTCAGCATCTATGAGTGGTTCATTTTAAGTATCCATTTTCCATTCTCACTGTAATCATAGAAAAAGTTGACCTGTCTTCTGGAGGATTATTTTCTTTCTCGTTTCTGTAAGCAGTTTTTTGGTTCATCTAGGCAGGGGAGGCTGCTCAGACAGAAGTAGTCTCGGAAGAAAATAAAAGTTTGATCTGGACACTATTAAAGCAAGTCCGGCCAGGAATGGATTTGTCCAAGGTTGTACTGCCTACATTTATCTTGGAACCTCGCTCTTTCCTGGACAAGCTGTCTGATTACTACTACCATGCAGACTTTTTGTCTGAGTAAGTAAATTCTATCTCTGTTTTTTATTATTTCCATTTTTTTTTTAATTAAAATAGGGCAACAGTGTTAGATATCCTTGTTTTCTGAAAGCTAACTGACTAAGAACTCATATAGTACATCTTGACGTCTGACCCCTCTTAGTAATTTAATAACAGTCATGTTGCAGGCATTTCTGGTTTAGCTTCTGAAGACTGGTTAGAAGACTTCTCAAAATTGGTTTAATGATTTTTTTATCAAAGAATCATCTTTAAAATGGTAATCCAGTACCAGTTAAACTTTTTAATACAGTGTTAAGTTCTGTCCAGATTCATAGTTGCCTGCTCAAATGTAGCTAATAAATTAAAGACTGTAAATTGAAATATTATTCAACTCAGAGCTCTGCACATGAGTAGGCTGGTTCTCTGGAATAGTACTTTATAAATGAAAGAACTTGAGTGGAGGTGGAACAGAATTAATTGTTACAAAGAACAGACTACAATATGGAAATAAAATTTCTGATTTTTTAATTTGATTTCAATTTTCTGAAAATTATTTGAAAACTGAATTTGGTGAGATTAGGCTGAAAGTTTTACAGTACTGTGAAGCACAAACCTGTTGTTTTAGTCAGCTCATAGATTCAAGATATGTCATAACAATTGATAGGGTTATAGCTGAAACAATACTGACTGTATTGTCTCAATAAGCTGACAGTGTGTGTGTTCTGTTTCACAGAGCTGCTCTTGAAGAGAATGCTTACAACCGCATGAAAAAAGTAGTGAAGTGGTATTTGTCAGGATTCTACAAAAAGCCAAAGGTGTACTTTCACGTATTATTTTATTGTTTAGCCATTGTGTCTATTTTGAGGGCTCAGGATTGGGCTGGAGTAAATTTTTCCTTTTAAATTACATTGTTATGCATTTTTTAAAAAAGCAAGGTTAAGTTTTTAGTTTTTATTTCTTACACAAATAGATCATGGAACTTTCTGGTCCTTAGCCATGCCTAAAATAGACTCTATTCAATTTCTTTTGTCCCTCAGAGTAGAAGTTGAGCTAAGTATGTTTTGATAAAGTTAAGCCAGTTCTATATTTACCATTCTTCAGTGACAACATTCTGCAGTTGGAGGACTAATGCTTCCACTACTTCATTTAGCTTTTCACTAAATACTCTCTATATTCATGTTGGTGGGAAACAGTATTGAAAGTAAGTGCTTAATACCTAACTTCAGACAAAAGCTCTGTAATAATTCTACCCCAAAAAATCTTATATTCTGTGTGTCCTTACATGTAGCCTGGAATAGTTTACTGGATATACTAAATGTATGACAATTTCCTTAGAATGAAGAGCAGAGTAACTGAGCACAATATTGAAATGATGAAATAAAATACTGTATACTTCAGCACATATATCATGTACTTCAGCATATATATTATTATTTTTTGTGTGTGTCTTATCTTCAGTCACACACATGTGTACACGCATAGTATGGTTACTCTCTATTTCTTTTTAGGGACTAAAAAAGCCGTACAATCCTATACTTGGAGAGACTTTCCGCTGCATGTGGATTCATCCAAGGACAAATAGCAAGACTTTTTATATTGCAGAACAGGTAGATGCAATGACTGGAACAAATATTTTTAAGAAAAATAAATGTGTTGTATATTTGTGCTAGCTAAATGACATGGTAGTTTCAGAAAATGTATTGAAATGTACAAATAGTGTCCTAAAAGCTCTCCTGGTGAGCGTAGTTTTCTTACAGACCTCTCCTTTAAGTGCCCTTCCTAGAGAGACAAAGGTGTTTACAGCATTTCTGTTCCCTCTTCCTCCAGGGCAATTCAGATGCTAATTTCCTTAACTCTTGAAATTCAGTAGGTGTTTGCTTGATCTTTATCTCCAAATATTACAGCCATGTTTTGCATAAATTAACTGTATTCTAATATGTGCAGCCTGAAGTTTGCCTTCTGTCATTATTAGCTCAAGTTTTATACTATATTGCATGTTCTTGGTTTTCTTTTTTTCCTTTTTTTTTTTTTTTTTTTTTTTTTTTTTTTTTTTTTTTTTTTTTTTTTTTTTTAATTAATGTGTGATTTTTTTTCAACAGGTATCACATCACCCTCCAATATCTGCCTTCTATGTTAGTAACCGCAAGGATGGTTTTTGCCTTAGTGGTAGCATTCTGGCCAAATCAAAGTTCTATGGTAAGTAATGAGATTTTTTTGGTTGTACTTTTATTGAGGAATGTAAAATAGGTGCACTTGAGCTGTGTTTTGTGGATGAAAGAAGGCTGTTAGAAGAGTCAGTGTTTGTTGCATTATCCTTTCTGATTTCTATTTTTGGAGTATTTTAGTTTTTAATTGGAGACACTGTATTATAGTGGCTTCACTAGACAGGATAGATTGCAGTGCTAAATATACTAATGTTCTTAATTTTATTGCTCAGTTATTAGGAAATGTTGACTGTTTTTCAGGGTGAGAAATATGATATTCTGTCTTTGAATTTCAGGGAATTCATTATCTGCCATACTAGATGGAGAAGGACGACTAACATTTCTAAATAGGGGAGAAGATTACGTAATGACAATGCCATATGCTCATTGTAAAGGTAGTGGGGTTTTTTTTCATTCTCTAGATGTCAAAGTTATGAGAACAGAAGTTTGTTA